AGCTACACTAGAAAACAAATTTGGAAAAATTTTCGAAAAATTAAATTTTCGAGATAATTGTTTGGGAATTCCGCCAAAAAAATAGTCAAAAAGTTCCGAACAAAAAATGTATGGCGCACTTTTAGATTGGTCCAGCGGATGCTGAGCTACACTAGAAAACAAATTTGGAAAAATTTTCGAAAAATTAAATTTTCGAGATAATCGTTCGGGAATACCGCCATAGTGATTAGAAGAAAGTTCTGAACAAAAAATGTATGGCGCACTTTTTGATTGGTCCAGCGGATGCTGAGCTACAGTAAAAAACATTTTAGAAAAATTTTCGAAAAATTAAATTTTCGAGATAATCGTTCGGGAATACCGCCAAAGTCTTTAGCAAAAAGTAGCGAACAATAAATGTATGGCGCACTTTTTGATTGGTCCAGCGGATGCTGAGCTACAGTAAAAAACATTTTGGAAAAATTTTCGAAAAATTAATTTTTCGAGATAATCGTTCGGGAATACCGCCAAAGTCTTTAGCAAAAAGTAGCGAACAATAAATGTATGGCGCACTTTTTGATTGGTCCAGCTGATGCTGAGCTATACTAGAAAACAAATTCTGAAAAAATTCCAAAAAATTAATTTTGCGAGATAATCGTTTGGGAATACCTTTGAAGTATTAACCTGTGAGTTTCATTATGAAATATACATTTTAATAATTCGTGAAATGAAAATTCTTTAAATATACCAAAATGATAATTCTTAGTTTAAATAAACATTGCACGCAAAGTGCCTTAAAAAAATAAAATAAATCATGAATCATCGTACAATTCCTTATTTCTTAAACACAAAACAAAAAATAAATAAAATGTCAATGTAGCTTCCGTCAGTTCGTCAAACTTTAGTATATAAATGATGTGTATACAGGCCGCACATATTCAGGATTTTCTCTTGTATACATAATGCATACCAATCGCGTAGATGTATCCAACGTGTCATATATATATATATGTATATAAAAAAGGATAGCATAAGCAAACTTATCCTACGATGGTAGGTATATATTTATAGGAAGAGGGACAAGGGGGCGAAAGATATTCGTTAAGTGGGTGGTGGAAAGAGAGAGAGGGGGGGCATTTATATCCATTCCTCTCTCTGTCTATCATATGACAGGTGGGGTTCCTCGTTAGACAAATTAAGCTTCGCTTCTGGCTGGCCTCCCCACGTAGTAGTAATAGTAGTAGTAGTAGTAGCTGGCGAACTCCCGTACTTGTTCGGGACGGGTTTCAAGTGGACTGCAAACACTCGAGGTGGCCCGACCTCGCGGAACCGGGCGCAAAGAAGAAACCTTCGGATTCACTATATATGTATATGTACATACACACACACATATATATACACTATGTATATATACACATACACATATCTATATATACGTGTTCAGAAACAGAATGTGTATTTGTCTTTGTCAGAAAGAATACATACACAAGCTTAGTAAAAATAAATACAAGAAACCCAGCAGTCATTTTACGTGAGGAATAGATATTTTATCAGAAAGAAAGTTCGAGTATTTCGAAATATTAGAGGATTTTTAATTGTGAATGCACCTTAATGTTATTTTCATTTGGAAAATGGTAATTTTACCAATTTTACCTATTTGGAGGAATTAAGTTTAAACTATCTCTTTCAGTTGTGAATGCACCTTAATATTATTTGGATTTGAAATATAATAAAGGATTCTTGGATGAATTCAATGAAAAATAGCTTTTTTAGTTGTGAACGCACCTTAATATTTGTTTTTCTATGGTGACCACTCTCTATATATTGTACAGTTCATGGTACTGTCATGCCTGCTAGTACACGTTGCCATTTTGTAAGGTAAAACATCAAAATAATTAGAGACTGCCAACCATAGAACAAAAAAAATAGTAAGGTGCTTTCACAACTAAAAAATATACATACTCTAATCTCTGGCTCGACACATTAAAGGCGATTTATTTACAATTTATTGCAAACTTTGGTAAAATTATGATACACATTTAGGCTGTGTTCACAATAGGCTAGTTATGTTAAATTTGTTATAGGTTCAATATTTTATAAGGCTGTGTCCACAATAGACTTCTTATGTTAACTTAACAAGTCTATTATGGACACAGCCTTATATAATAATTGCATCTATAAAAAAGTTTTAATATACATCAAGTTTGGGAGAAAATTCACTCTGTAAAATTAAAAGTGGAAAAAAATTAAAAGTTAAGCAAAACAACCGATGAAAATTCGAGAATCAGAGAGGAAAACTACTATGTATATATATAGCAAAGTTTGAAATTGGCCACTAGGGTAGTTTGTCACGTAGCACGTGACTTCTGAGCGTTCCGTTGTTTGTCACGTCGTCGAACAGGAGAGAGAGAAAGAGAGAGAGAGAGAGAGAGAGCCAGACGAGACGCAGAAACGAACCAACACTTCTGTTCGCTTTTGCCCAATTATAAAACAAACGCGGTACGCTCCGTAATTATCCAATTAGCGATGTACCTCATCCTCACTATACTTTTGTCTATACACACTATGTCCCCTGTCTCCTGATTCTTATATATAACTATAAATATATATGCGTATACAGATTTATTTTTTACTGCTATTACTGTTTTTTTAGGTTAGGTTGCATGAACAGAATAAAATTGTAAAAAAAGGAGAAAAAAACGTTGATACAAAATTCCGACTTAAAAATTAAATATTTTTGCTGATTTTAAAACATAACCTAAAAAATAGTAAGTATATCAATCGACAGGGTTGGGTAGTCAAAATAAATTTATAGTTGCCATTGTCTTCATTTGCCAAAATCTCCAAATAGCCAACTACCGCACCCTGTTCGAGGGAAAATTTAGTAACTTTTAATTCAAAAACAAAAGTCACTAAATTTTCACTAGAGCAGGGTACGGTATTTGACGAGAATAAAATGTTTAGAAAAAAATGCTGTCCCCTGGTGGCATTGAACTACACAACCCTGACATTGTTGCCATCAAACAGCAGTTAAATTATTTTGTAAACACAAAGTATCTTGCTTAATTGTAAGATAATCTGAACTACCCAACCTTGTCGACTGAAAAAAAATTCTATGAGTGAGATTAGTGTCGTATTGGATTCAGTGGCTAAAAGCAAGTGTTTCATACTAGATAATGAATAATTTGGAAAAATATAAAAGGGACCAGAAAAACTTGTCTTCTTGTTTGATAATAACATTTTTTTTGTCATCCGTTGACTTTAATGGCAATAGCTTTTCCATTTAATGATTTAATATTTAAAATATAACGCACACAAAAATTCTTTTCATCCCAAAACAATATTATCGATTTTACCTCAATTTTTTTTAGGTTATGTTTTTAAATATATGCCATTTAGGTTAGATTTTTTTACTAAAATTAACATTTTTTTCCTGCAGTAAGAATTTTATTCAACAAACCTAACCTAAAAATCTGATAGTAAAACTCGTATCTAATCTAACTATAAATATATTTGTACGAAAAAAAAAATACGCAACACTATCTACAAAAACAAATATAGACAAAAAAAAAGGTGCAATCAAAAATTATAAAATAATAAAATTGCCTTTTTAACTTTTCTATATATGTTAACGCAATTTAAACACTGGAATGGTCAAGTAGGTGAGAAATCAAAGATCGCGTGCGTGCAAACCTTTTTTTATGGTTACCTAGACAAAATACACAAATGGAAAAATAATTTGAGGGTGATTATACGATATATATCCCCCCTTTCACATCCCTTAAAGATCCCTGAGGGGTGATGAAACAATGAAGAGAGAATCACTTGTAAAATTTGTGAGCCGTGATCTGCCTTAGAGCAGGTCGCGTGCGTTTTAATTCTCAGTTCCTGATCCGCCCTTTATACCGCGATATCGTATTCCTTTAAAAAAGCCCAACCAATCGACTCTTCTCTCTCTCTCACTCTCTCTCAGATTTTCTCTCTTTTTTAATGTCACGAACTGAGAATTGTTGCTTGACGAAGAAACGATTGATTGACTGACTTTACCGAGACTTTATATAAGAGGGGTAGGAGGGAGGAAGGGATGGAGAGATTTGAACCCCATTTCACCCTCGTTTTGTACCCTCATCGTAAATATGATGTATGTGCAAACACTGGGCCCACGCCCCTTTATTATATTCTCTCTCTAGGATTGCAAGAATTTCACTCTCTTTTCTTTCTCTTTTTTTCTCTCTACAAATCACTTAAATTGAGAGTTAATTTATTATTAATTTATTAAATATAAACTTAAAAAAAAAATTTTTTTTGTACAATTGTCCGAATTTTTAAGACACCGAATTGTCATTTGTCCGAAATTTTAAGACGCCGAATTTTTATTTGTCCGAATTTTAATTTGTACGAATTTTCATTTATCCGAATTCTAATTTGTACGAATTTGAAGACGTCGAATTTTTGCAATTAATTTTTTGTTCCAATTAATATTACCTCATAACTCTTTTAAAATAAAAATTTTCAATAAATTTCCCGTAATTTTTCTTTTTCTTCATCTAATTCTTTATAATAAAAAAATAGTGTATCAAAAAAATTTCCGTCATTTTTCATTTAAAAAAAACTTCAGTTTTTTTTTCCACAACGAGGAAAAATTCTCGATCCCCCTACTAATATTATTACAAACAGACAGCTATGGCGCGCGTGAAATGTAACATTTTTTCCCCGGACCAGACAAAATTTCCCCCATTTTTTTTTTGTACTTGAGAACTTATAGACATCCGAGTTTGCGTGTTTTTGGCATTTACGCGCAAACCGTATATCAATCACACGCGATTTTGACCCTCGCATTTTGTTTTTATGATCATGCCAAAACACTTACTTTCTCAATATCGATGATGATGCTTTTTATATATATGTAGATATTTCATCGAGAAAAAAACGAATTTTACATAATTTTTCTCTTTTTAAAAAATTAATTAAAAACTTAGAAAAAAATTAAAATTATATATTTTTTATTTAAATTAAAAACTCACCCCGATGTTGATGTTGTTGTTGTTGTAAACTCTGAGGCGGTGGTACATGTCCATAAACACCAGGAGCTCTGTTATCGTTTGTATGATGGCTAAAAAAAATTAAAAAACTTATTTAATAATTTTTAACTATTATATTTTTATTAAACAAAAATTAAAAAATTATTTTAAATTAAAGATATTTTTTTTATTGAATTTTAATTTTTTTTTAGAGTAACAAATATTAAAAATTATTAATTAATAAAATTAAAAAATTAAAATTAAAAAAAAAATAGGTATCTGTACTGATTTGTTGTAATAATTATTCGACAATATAAAATATAGTAATATATTTTTAAATAAAGAAAAAAATGTTTTTTATTGTCCAAACACTCACCCCAGCATTCGATGTCCAGCAGCACCAAGTGACGCGACTTGATTCGAACGCGTGAATCCAATTTGTGGCTTCCATTGATTTCCGGTATTTCGATTCATTTGTTCAAAATCTTGTGGTTTCAACACTCGCGGCGGTTCTACAGCGCCTTTTAATTTTTTCGCTGGGAATATATAAGAATCAGGGTACTTTGGATCTCTGTATCTCACACTGCAAATAATCAATTTAGTAAACATAATAAATAAATAAATAATATTATAATTATAAATTTATATTATGATTTAAGTTCATTTGTTGTGTACCATAAGTTGGTTCATAATTATAATTATTAAATAAATTAATTAATTATAATTGTAAATATCAATCAAATTTGTGTTTCTCTTATTTTTACGGATCCGTTCATGAAGTATAAAATTTTAATTTTTTTAACAACTTTTTTATGACCTGAGTTGCCTTTTGGAAGGTAATGGGCGTCTTCCTCTACTCGGATCAGGGTGTCAATTTTTTTCTACACTTTTAGGTGTATTTTGTGCAAGAAATTGCAATAAAATAGTCTGCCTAAGAAAAATTGAATTTTTTTGGGAACTTTTTTCTGATTTTGGATGGTTTTTGGTGGTAATAAAGGTCTTCCTCTACTTGGATTTGGCTGTCAATTTTTTTCTACACTTTTAGGTGTATTTTACGCAAGAAATTGCAATAAAATAGTCTGCCTAAGAAAAATTGAATTTTTTTGGGGACTTTTTTCTGATTTTGGATGGTTTTTGGTGGTAATAGGGGTGTTCCTCTACTCGGATCGGGGTGTCAATTTTTTTCTACACTTTTAGGTGTATTTTGTGCAAGAAATTGCAATAAAATAGTCTGCCTAAGAAAAATTGAATTTTTTTGGGGACTTTTTTCTGATTTTGGATGGTTTTTGGTGGTAATAGGGGTGTTCCTCTACTCGGATCGGGGTGTCAATTTTTTTCTACACTTTTAGGTGTATTTTGTGCAAGAAATTGCAATAAAATAGTCTGCCTAAGAAAAATTGAATTTTTTTGGGACCTTTTTTCTGATTTTGGATGGTTTTTGGTGGTAATAAAGGTCTTCCTCTACTTGGATTTGGCTGTCAATTTTTTTCTACACTTTTAGGTGTATTTTGTGCAAGAAATTGCAATAAAATAGTGTGCCTAAGAAAAATTGAATTTTTTTGGGACCTTTTTTCTGATTTTGGATGGTTTTTGGTGGTAATAGGGGTGTTCCTCTACTCGGATCGGGGTGTCAATTTTTTTCTACACTTTTAGGTGTATTTTGTGCAAGAAATTGCAATAAAATAGTCTGCCTAAGAAAAATTGAATTTTTTTGGGACCTTTTTTCTGATTTTGGATGGTTTTTGGTGGTAATAAAGGTCTTCCTCTACTTGGATTTGGCTGTCAATTTTTTTCTACACTTTTAGGTGTATTTTGTGCAAGAAATTGCAATAAAATAGTGTGCCTAAGAAAATATGAATTTTTTTGGGACCTTTTTTCTGATTTTGGATGGTTTTTGGTGGTAATAGGGGTGTTCCTCTACTCGGATCGGGGTGTCAATTTTTTCTACACTTTTAGGTGTATTTTGTGCAAGAAATTGCAATAAAATAGTCTGCCTAAGAGAAATTGAATTTTTTTGGGACCTTTTTTCTGATTTTGGATGGTTTTTGGTGGTAATAGGGGTGTTCCTCTACTCGTATATGGCTGTCAATTTTTTTCTACACTTTTAGGTGTATTTTGTGCAAGAAATTGCAATAAAATAGTCTGCCTAAGAGAAATTGAATTTTTTTGGGACCTTTTTTCTGATTTTGGATGGTTTTTGGTGGTAATAGGGGTGTTCCTCTACTCGGATCGGGGTGTCAATTTTTTTCTACACTTTTAGGTGTATTTTGTGCAAGAAATTGCAATAAAATAGTCTGCCTAAGAGAAATTGAATTTTTTTGGGACCTTTTTTCTGATTTTGGATGGTTTTTGGTGGTAATAGGGGTGTTCCTCTACTCGGATCGGGGTGTCAATTTTTTCTACACTTTTAGGTGTATTTTGTGCAAGAAATTGCAATAAAATAGTCTGCCTAAGAGAAATTGAATTTTTTTGGGACCTTTTTTCTGATTTTGGATGGTTTTTGGTGGTAATAGGGGTGTTCCTCTACTCGTATATGGCTGTCAATTTTTTTCTACACTTTTAGGTGTATTTTGTGCAAGAAATTGCAATAAAATAGTCTGCCTAAGAGAAATTGAATTTTTTTGGGACCTTTTTTCTGATTTTGGATGGTTTTTGGTGGTAATAGGGGTGTTCCTCTACTCGGATCGGGGTGTCAATTTTTTTCTACACTTTTAGGTGTATTTTGTGCAAGAAATTGCAATAAAATAGTCTGCCTAAGAGAAATTGAATTTTTTTGGGACCTTTTTACTGATTTTGGATGGTTTTTGGTGGTAATAGTGGTGTTCCTCTACTCGGATCGGGGTGTCAATTTTTTTCTACACTTTTAGGTGTATTTTGTGCAAGAAATTGCAATAAAATAGTGTGCCTAAGAAAATATGAATTTTTTTGGGACCTTTTTTCTGATTTTGGATGGTTTTTGGTGGTAATAGGGGTGTTCCTCTACTCGGATCGGGTGTCAATTTTTTCTACACTTTTAGGTGTATTTTGTGCAAGAAATTGCAATAAAATAGTCTGCCTAAGAGAAATTGAATTTTTTTGGGACCTTTTTTCTGATTTTGGATGGTTTTTGGTGGTAATAGGGGTGTTCCTCTACTCGTATATGGCTGTCAATTTTTTTCTACACTTTTAGGTGTATTTTGTGCAAGAAATTGCAATAAAATAGTCTGCCTAAGAGAAATTGAATTTTTTTGGGACCTTTTTTCTGATTTTGGATGGTTTTTGGTGGTAATAGGGGTGTTCCTCTACTCGGATCGGGGTGTCAATTTTTTTCTACACTTTTAGGTGTATTTTGTGCAAGAAATTGCAATAAAATAGTCTGCCTAAGAGAAATTGAATTTTTTTGGGACCTTTTTACTGATTTTGGATGGTTTTTGGTGGTAATAGTGGTGTTCCTCTACTCGGATCGGGGTGTCAATTTTTTTCTACACTTTTAGGTGTATTTTGTGCAAGAAATTGCAATAAAATAGTGTGCCTAAGAAAATATGAATTTTTTTGGGACCTTTTTTCTGATTTTGGATGGTTTTTGGTGGTAATAGGGGTGTTCCTCTACTCGGATCGGGGTGTCAATTTTTTTCTACACTTTTAGGTGTATTTTGTGCAAGAAATTGCAATAAAATAGTCTGCCTAAGAGAAATTGAATTTTTTTGGGACCTTTTTTCTGATTTTGGATGGTTTTTGGTGGTAATAGGGGTGTTCCTCTACTCGGATCGGGGTGTCAATTTTTTTCTACACTTTTAGGTGTATTTTGTGCAAGAAATTGCAATAAAATAGTCTGCCTAAGAGAAATTGAATTTTTTTGGGACCTTTTTTCTGATTTTGGATGGTTTTTGGTGGTAATAGGGGTGTTCCTCTACTCGTATATGGCTGTCAATTTTTTTCTACACTTTTAGGTGTATTTTGTGCAAGAAATTGCAATAAAATAGTCTGCCTAAGAAAAATTGAATTTTTTTGGGACCTTTTTTCTGATTTTGGATGGTTTTTGGTGGTAATAAAGGTCTTCCTCTACTTGGATTTGGCTGTCAATTTTTTTCTACACTTTTAGGTGTATTTTGTGCAAGAAATTGCAATAAAATAGTGTGCCTAAGAAAAATTGAATTTTTTTGGGACCTTTTTTCTGATTTTGGATGGTTTTTGGTGGTAATAGGGGTGTTCCTCTACTCGGATCGGGGTGTCAATTTTTTTCTACACTTTTAGGTGTATTTTGTGCAAGAAATTGCAATAAAATAGTCTGCCTAAGAGAAATTGAATTTTTTTGGGACCTTTTTTCTGATTTTGGATGGTTTTTGGTGGTAATAGGGGTGTTCCTCTACTCGGATCGGGGTGTCAATTTTTTTCTACACTTTTAGGTGTATTTTGTGCAAGAAATTGCAATAAAATAGTCTGCCTAAGAGAAATTGAATTTTTTTGGGACCTTTTTTCTGATTTTGGATGGTTTTTGGTGGTAATAGGGGTGTTCCTCTACTCGTATATGGCTGTCAATTTTTTTCTACACTTTTAGGTGTATTTTGTGCAAGAAATTGCAATAAAATAGTCTGCCTAAGAGAAATTGAATTTTTTTGGGACCTTTTTTCTGATTTTGGATGGTTTTTGGTGGTAATAGGGGTGTTCCTCTACTCGTATATGGCTGTCAATTTTTTTCTACACTTTTAGGTGTATTTTGTGCAAGAAATTGCAATAAAATAGTCTGCCTAAGAAAAATTGAATTTTTTTGGGACCTTTTTTCTGATTTTGGATGGTTTTTGGTGGTAATAAAGGTCTTCCTCTACTTGGATTTGGCTGTCAATTTTTTTCTACACTTTTAGGTGTATTTTGTGCAAGAAATTGCAATAAAATAGTGTGCCTAAGAAAAATTGAATTTTTTTGGGACCTTTTTTCTGATTTTGGATGGTTTTTGGTGGTAATAGGGGTGTTCCTCTACTCGGATCGGGGTGTCAATTTTTTTCTACACTTTTAGGTGTATTTTGTGCAAGAAATTGCAATAAAATAGTCTGCCTAAGAGAAATTGAATTTTTTTGGGACCTTTTTTCTGATTTTGGATGGTTTTTGGTGGTAATAGGGGTGTTCCTCTACTCGGATCGGGGTGTCAATTTTTTTCTACACTTTTAGGTGTATTTTGTGCAAGAAATTGCAATAAAATAGTCTGCCTAAGAGAAATTGAATTTTTTTGGGACCTTTTTTCTGATTTTGGATGGTTTTTGGTGGTAATAGGGGTGTTCCTCTACTCGTATATGGCTGTCAATTTTTTTCTACACTTTTAGGTGTATTTTGTGCAAGAAATTGCAATAAAATAGTCTGCCTAAGAGAAATTGAATTTTTTTGGGACCTTTTTTCTGATTTTGGATGGTTTTTGGTGGTAATAGGGGTGTTCCTCTACTCGTATATGGCTGTCAATTTTTTTCTACACTTTTAGGTGTATTTTGTGCAAGAAATTGCAATAAAATAGTGTGCCTAAGAAAAATTGAATTTTTTTGGGACCTTTTTTCTGATTTTGGATGGTTTTTGGTGGTAATAAAGGTCTTCCTCTACTTGGATTTGGCTGTCAATTTTTTTCTACACTTTTAGGTGTATTTTGTGCAAGAAATTGCAATAAAATAGTCTGCCTAAGAAAAATGGAATTTTTTTGGGACCTGTTTTCTAGTTTTGGATGCCTTTTTGGAGGTAATGGGCATCTTCCTCTTCTCGGATCGGGGTGTCAATTTGGCGTGTGAATTAAATAGTAATTATTATTCCATTATTTTCTTTTTTTCTTTTATTCTACATTTTACTACTAATGTTTATTATATTTATTTTTAAGTATTAGGAATATATTTTTTAAATTTACTATCTATTCTTATGTAAAAAAAGGAAAATATTATAATATAACAATTGAAAGAAATAATGAAATAATTATGAATAAATAAGAGTTTATAAGTGATAAAATTGGTTTTCTTCATTATTTAGAAGAAATTGGTAATCAAAATTTTTTTTGACTTACCAATAAACTTGATTGCCACGAACAGGTAGACCCAAATTTGTCGGCGACGGAAGTGTTCCACCTTCATTTACACAATCATCCGCCAATAAAACAGCTCCTCGCATTCCATCAATTGATACTTCAACTTCCTCATCTCTTTTTACTTTATTTGTATAAAGACCTTTTATAAAATTGAATTGCGAATTTGTTGGCTCCACGTAAAGTCTATCGTCGCCTCTCACGTTACGTCGCTCTAAACAATAACAAAATTTTTTTAATTTATTTTCTAGTAAAAAAAAATTAGAAATAAATAAAAGTAAAGTAAAAATAAAGAGCAGAAAAGAAAAAGTAAATACCAAAATAAAATATGAAAATAAAAATGAAAATTTTGTAAAAAGACGATTGATTTTTATTTTTTTTTAAATAAATAAACAAAAAAAGTATAAAAATTAATCTAAAATATAATAACGTACTTTCTGCTTCAGTGAGGCACTCGTAATAAGGCTCCAAGGCTTTAAATAATCGTTTCTCTTCAACAAATGGCAATAAAGCAACACCTTGCCAAGCGAATTTTTTTCCATTGAGATCAATTTTAAAATCTTCTGGATAAAAATCGATAATTGACGATTTCTGAAAAAAAATACAATTCAATTTTAATTAAAAAACAAATTAGAATTTTTTAAATTTTAATTACATTAAAAAATAAACATTTTATTTGATTAAAAGGGAAAATAATAATATTATTATTATTTAGTCTAAAAATTTGTGTATTTGTAAATTATTTATATTTAAAAATTTTTTAATTATTATTCTAGTAATTTAAATAACTTACCGGATCGCTCATTAATTTTGCCCAAGGTTTAGGGACGTGTTTACTACTCGCTGCTGGAAATACGCCCATCAATTGTTCCAGAGGTCGGAACTGTAAATAAATTATTTATTTAAAGTAGGTAAATAAGTAAAAGTCCTTGAGATGGTTAAAAGTTAAATAATATAATAATAATATACTAATTATAGTTAAATAATAATAAACTATAGAAAATAATAAATAAAATTATTTTCTGAATATAAAAACTCACCGGAATTGTTCCTTTTTCAAATTCCGTGGAGAGGCCACCGATATTGATAAAGTCACTCGCGAATGGCGCATAATGATATGGAAAATACCATTTCCATGAAGCGCAACCTTGATAATAATATCTTAAGACCCAACAAAGTCCGCGCACATATTGCAAAGCGACATTATTCCTAAACAAAAAATAATTATTTATTTATTTAAAATATACAATAACAACAATAAGGGGATTTTCATTTATTTTCTTTCATTTTTAGTTAAATAAAATTAAATTATAATATTCCAATCAGGTCAGGTCAGTGGAATTAATTAGATTCAATTAAGTGATTAGAAATAAAAATGAAAAGTAAAAAATATACCTGAATGCAAAATTTTCCGGCATAACATCGAATTTTGATTCATAATATCGTTCTTTAAATCCATCCTCCCATAATCGAACCTCATCGTGAGCTTGATCGTCCTCCTCCTCTTGCATTTCATCAGCTTTACGTTTTTGGCCCCTTTTATCCGAATCCTAAAAACAAAGGAAAAACAAAAATTATCTATTTTATTTTTCTTTTAAATTAATTTTTTTTAGTAAATTTAAAAAATTTATTATTATTAAAATTATTACATCAGAGACTGTAATAAAAAAAAATTCTTTCTTCCTTTTAATTAATTTTTTTTTTTAATTCGATTTTTGAAAACTATTAAAATTAAATTAATTAAATCAGCGATTGTAAAAGAAAATTTGTTTTTTGTATATTTTTCGAAATGTCCTAGAATATAGTAATAAAAATAATATTTTTAATTAATATTAATTTAAAATAATATTAATAGGAAAAATAGTTGTAATAATAATAATAATAATAATAATAATAATAAAAATAATAATATTAATAAAGAAAATCATAATTATAATTATGTTTTTCTTTCTCGTAATTTGATTAATTTTGTAACATTATTATTTAGGTACCTATGTACTCAAAGGGCACAGACCGTTTACAATTTATAAATAAATAAATAAATAAAATAAAAATAATAGGATAATGATAATAATTTTGTGAAAATAAATGACAATCACACCTCAGGAACAATCATATTGTGAAGAGCAGTTTTAGCATCTATTCCTTTTAATGCACGATCCGCTGCATTTGTATTATAATTTCTACCCTCAACTCTCATTAAATATGCCTCTTGTCTTGCATTTTGTACTGGATTCACGGATTTTCCCAGAGCCTATAAAACATTATATACAAATAAATATATAATATTAGAAATTAAATTATTTAAAAAAAAAAATATTTTTTTAATTTTTAAAATTTAGCAAATCATTCAATTAACATAAAATTAATTATAAAATAAAATAATAATAACATATTTTGTAATTAAATTAAATTGAAAATTCGATTTTTTTAAAAAAAATTAAATAAATAAAAATATACTCACAACAGGCGCAAATTGTCCAGAAGGAACCCATTGTGGTTTAAAATTACTGATTGCCTCCATTCTTCGTTTTTTATTTTTCTCCCGTTGCTTGAATGCCAATTCATTCTGTTGTCGTTTTTTAAAAATTTCATCCTCCATATTACCCAAATCGGACATAATTAATTGTACTCTGTCCAAATTTACATCACCATTTTCTGTCAAGAAACCCTATTACAAAAAAAACAAAAATTAATAAGAAAAAAAAAAAAATACTAGAAAAAAAAATAAAACTTACCCCCGTTTTATATACAGTCTTTTTATATAAATTAACGAGTCGATCAATGGCGCCCTCACGAATTTCCAATGATGGTAAATGCGGTAGAAAATCATTTCCAACGAAAAAACACATAAACACCCAATCGTCAATTGCCCTTTCAAAATCATATTTAAATGGCAAATTAGGCATTTGTAATTCCCTCTCTAAATATTCACGTAGAACATTTAAGCGTACAAATATAAATTGACACTCGGAACCAAATGTCTCTTGTTCCAATGTATTTGGTTCGGAACCAGTGCAATCTTTCATCTCATGGCCCAATTGACCGCAAATATCGCATGGCCTTGGCTTATTTGGCTTAAATTCTTCACGAATTATTGTAAAATTAGGCTCATGTGTCGCAAGTCCCAACATTATTAAATCAGCATCAGCACCACACAACACGTGCTGTGTATTTGGATCGTGATCCGGTTGAGCTGTTAATAAAAAAAAGAATTATTATCTTTTTGTTTGTTTTTTGTAAATACAATTTTAATAAATAAATCATTTTTATCAACTATTTTTAATTTTTTTTTTAATTCTTTCAATTCGAAAAAAAAATAAAAATAATAAATACCTCTTTGACGACGTATATAGTCCATGATTTTGTGTTCTCCTTCGCCCGGTACATTTGCATCGCTTAAAATAACTTTAATTCCTTTCCAACCTGGATCAGTATTCAATCGATCGTGAATATAATAATGAAGACATGCCGATAGTCTTGCCATAAATGGAGTTCCCTGGTAAAAAAAAATGTCAATTATTTAATTAACAAAAAAAGAAAAAAGAACAAAAAATATTTGAAAAAAAAACATCGAAAGAAAAATTATATTTTATCCGAGGAACGTCCAAATACATTAAAAAAAAATAAAAATTAAATTAGAAAAAAGTTTAAATTATTATTTATTGAAAAATATACAAATATTATCATTTTCAAAATTATTAATTATTATTATTTTCAAAAATTATTTTTTTTATTAGAATTTAAAAAAAAAATTATTTATATTATATTATTTTCAAAAAAAAAAAACAATTTTTGTTCAAAGTTCGAAATAAAATAAAATAAATATTTTCCTATTGTACTGATCGTTAAAAAATAATTTGAAAACTTTTTAAAAAATATATAAAATTATAAAGAAAATTTAAACAAAAAAGAATAATTACCGGCGTGATGCAATTACTGTCAAAATGTTCGCCTTTTGGTTTTTCCGGTGGTAGATACGCTCCTTTTGATTGTAAATCACTTCGAATTCTTTCAATTTCCAAAATTTTCTCACCAGTTTCTTTTGAAGCACGAAATCTACGAGATCTTTGTTGATTCATTTTTGCTCGTGGCGCCTTTAAAAAATAAAAATTTTTTTTTCCACTTAATTAATTTAGTAATTTCACATTAGAAAATTGAGGGAAAAAATTTTCATGTTTTCTAATGATTAATTATTCAATTATTATAATTATTTCTAATATTTAGGATCAATAGAGACAAAAAAAAAACTAAATTTTGTGCACAATTTCTTTTAAACATTTTTTTTTTTTTGAAAAATAATTGTTTTAAAACAATTTAAAAGTAACTGATTTAAAACAATGCTAAAATTTCTAAATGAAAACCATTTAAAAGCAAATAAAAAAGAAATATAATTGCAAAATAATTAAATTTAAATATAAAAAATGTTTAAAAGGGGAAAATAATTATATTTAAATAAATTTTCAACTTCGGTAAAACAACGAAAAACTATTGATAAATTTAAAAAAATAATTAAAATTAAAAAAATAATTAAAATTACAAAAATAATTAAAATTACAAAATAATGGAATAGAAAAAAATTTTACTTCTAAAAAAGTAATTGAATTGAAAAATATAATTATAATAGGAAAATACTTGAATTTTATCTAATAATTAAAACAAAATAAGGGGAATGTAAAAAAATTAAAATTTTAGAAATAATTAAATTTATAAAATAAAAAATTTTAAAACACTGAATTAAAAAAAAACAATTAAATTTACATATATTCTTTGAATATGAAAATAGTTCAATAATTATTAATTATTATATAATAATAATAATTAAAATAAAATTATTATTTTAATAATAATAATTATTATTATATTATTATTATTATTATTATTAATTATTATTTTAATAATAATTAAAAATTTGCAAAATAATTAAATTTAAGAATTATTAAACAGAAAAACTGTTGGAATTCACAAAATAATTGAATTTAAAAATAATCCTAGGCTGTAAAAAAATATTTTTAAAAATGTAAGAAAAAAATTTAAATTCTTAAAATTTGCTTACCACTCCATCGATGGCCATGTAAAGTAATTTTCTCGGTCGGACGATGCGAAATAATCGATCAATGCACTCAAAAATAGCCTCCATCATTTCATCTTCATTTTTTGGAGCAGGTCTGTAAATTAAAAAAAAAAAAAAAAAAAAAAAAAAGTAAATTTAAATTTACATTTTCCTATATAATTTAGTTATTTTCATTTAATGAATTTATTTTTTTCTTTTATTCTTACTTGTCTTCAGGATGTGTGCAAGGATGAATTATCCCATTCATATCAAGATATAAATTATCAAATTCCACTCCATTTGGATTCGGTTCGGCTGAATTTATCGGTACTTGAGTATCATCAATTGTTACTGACTAAAATTTGTAAAATAAAATATTTTTATTGTAAATTAATATTATTATAATAAATAATACGAATAAATAAATAAAAAAAAAACAATACTGTATATTATAAAAAATATAATAATATAACAATATAAAATTGTATATTAATAAAAAAAAAATTCTAATCCAATGTTTCGTTGAGAGAAAATTAAAAAAAAAACCAAAAACTAAATAAATAATTAAATTATGTATTTATAAATAAAATAATTAATTTAGATTTAAAAAAAAAAAAATGCGAAAATGTAAATTAATTTTTTTTTTTTATTAATTTATTATCAATAATTTTTTTTTTAACGATATTAAAACAATTTATAAATCGAATACCGCACTTTGTAAAAGTTGCAAATAAAAATTCCTAACCTCTAAAAATTGGGCTTTGGTAAACTTTTTTCAAATTTTAATACGCACGAGATAAATTGCAATTTTTGTCAAAAAATCATTATTTAATGATAATTATTAATGTTTATTAAATGTATAAAAAATGAATAAAAATACACAAACCTTTTGTTCAATGCATTCAACAATAACCGATGGATATTTTCGACTTAGCCATCGAAAAAATGCTGGTACACCCATGTTTAATTATGATAAAATGAAAAATATAATTCACTCTTTCGTTATAAAACACACTGCAATTACAATATTTTACTATTATATTTAACTATAATAATTGAACAAAATTTGTATTTTTTTTTTTTTACTCCGTTTTTTGATTTTCAAAAAAAAGTTTCAGTGTTTTCATCTGCCATGGCGTACATAACCTCAAAACACACCAAAAGGCGCTTGTTCGCGTCCATCAATCGATAAAACAGTTTTTATATTACCGACTGCAAATATACTTTTTTTTGGGCGCGAATTTTGAAAAATTTTTTACCCAAAAGCGCTAATTGTTTATAAACAATTATTTAATGCGTAAAAAATATATTTTAATTTTAGTTGAAAATATTATTTCTTTTTCCGGAAAATACACTTTTTCAGAAAAAAAAGGGAAAAATTTCTGACGACACAGAAAAAATAAAATTCGAAAATCAATATTTTTTTTGAAATAATAAAATAATAGAAAAATTGAATGTCAGTTGAAGGGCAATAACTATTTTTCAAATTGTTTTATAATCCCAACGTTTTTATCTTTAGTATATTATCGACAATAAGAAAAAAAAAATTCTTATCTTTTAAACACGAGAGAGGTTAGGAAAATTTGTGCGCCTTGACAGTGAAAAACAAAATCGAAAGCCCCCCCCCCCTGCGGTCTCAACACAATCTTAGAGAAAAAGAGAAAGAGATTTATTTTGTAATAGTTACAATCTTCCGTAAGAAAGTTTTTTTTTTTTATTATAATATATACAAATGTCAAAACACTCCTAAGGAATTTGTGAGGCACGACAGTGGGAAGGGCCAGAAAACAAGTTTCTGAGGAAGAAAAAAAAAAAATACTTTTTTTTTCCTGAATTATGGATGGACCACAAACGGTAAGTCCATATGTTATTTATCTTTGATTATTACCACAATTTCAAAAGTTATTTTTTTTTTTATTTATTTAAATTTTTCCCAAATTCATTTTAAAAAATAAATTGTCGGAAAATTTGTTTTAAATTCGTTTTTAAATAAATGGCGAAATTTGACACGTGTGTGATGTATTTCAAAACATAAACAGGTTTTCGCATTTTAAACCTAACCTAACTGATACATTTTTTTTTATTCTCTTTGCGGAAATTTTTTATTTGGAAAAAAAATTCAAAATCAAATGACGTGTCCCATCTGTAGTTAAATCGCGTCTGTGCCATAATAAAGATCGTTTCTTTTGAATTTCTAATTCGAATTTTGGTGAGATTTTTTTTTTTAAATATTATTATTGCATTTTAAAAAAGTAAGATTGAAATTTTTTAATTATTAATTAAATTGCTAATATTTTTTGTTCGAATTTGTAACTTGCTCTTAATTATTGATTTACTGTTATTATTTATTTATTTATTAATTCTAAAATTTATATTTATATTTAATTTATTTATTTACTATTATTAATAATTTATTAATTAATATTATTAATTAATTAACTAATTATTTAATTTTTAATATTTTTTGTTTTTGACCTCTATGTTGTATTTTCCAGAGTTTTATTTTTGTTTTTTCCTGGCATTTAAAAATTATAATTTTTACTAAAAATTGAAATCACAAAATTTAAAAAAATTGCAAAATAATTAGAAATAAATATAAATAGAAAAAACAAATTTTTTTCAAAAATTATCAAGAATAATAAAAAATAAAACGGAAAATAAATTAATAAAATAATTAAATAATTAGGTAAATAAAAATACCAAATAAATAAATAAAAAAAAGAAAAATTGAAAAAAAATAAACTGAAAATACAAAAGTACTTTCCATTACTATTTTTTTTTTTTTTGCATTTAAAAATTATCAGTTTCATAAAAATTTAAATCTCAAAATTGTCATAAATTACAAATAAATATTAGAAATAAAAGCAAAAAAAAATTAAATATAGAAATAAATATTAAATACAAAATAAAAATTCGCAAAAGTTATGAAAAATAATAAAAAATAAAATATAGAAAATAAATAAATAATTAGGTAAATAAAAACACTAAATAAACAAATAAATAAAAAATTATAAAAAAAATACAAAGGAAAAAAAAATTTTTAAATACAAAAGTAAAAAATTGATCATTTTCTTTGCGAAAAATAAATAAATTTGAAAAAATTCAAAATAAAAATTAAATAAATTCAAAACAAAAATAAGAAATACAAAAAAAAAGATAAATAAATAAAAATACAGAAACAATTATAAAAATATAAATAATTAAAATTATGAAAAAAAAAAATTGTACAAAAGACAAGAAATCTAATAATTAATTATTTTACGACAATATTGAAATTAAATTAATTGCAAAATAAACATTTTTTTTTCTTCATTTCAGATAAAAGAAAGTAATTCACTTACCGAAAAAATGGATTTATTCAATTCTTGTTTACTGAATCGATTAAAAACATTGCCACGAGATCCGAGTTTAATTGTCCGTCCTCTAAACACCAATGATTATGAAAAAGGTACAATTTTTTTTCAATTGTAATTTTCTTTTTTCATTTCTCCCATCGAAGATTATAAAAAAAAAAAAAATTCTCCCAATTTCTTCAACTTTTCTAAAAATAAACAAAAAAAAAAATCCGTAAAATCAGTAAGATTACAAAAATTTTTTTTTACATTTCAATATTTATAATTTTCCCCGTCAGTATTTATTTATTTACATGTATTTACAGGCAGTGCCCTTAGTATTATTAAAAAAAAAAAAAAAAAAAAAGTGCAATTACAAAAGAAGTTTAATTTTTGAAAAATTTATGTTTCATCAGGATTTACTCAACTTTTGAGCCAACTCACCGAAGTCGGATCAATAGGAGAAGATCAATTTCTCAGTAAGTTTCGTAACAAATGAAAAAAAAAAAACAAAAATTGCAATAGAAAAATAAAAGAAAAATTCATTAATGAATTTTAAATAAAAAAAAATTAATTAAATTATTAATAATATACATTTTGAAAATATTGAAAAAAAAGAAAAGCTGAAAAATAATAATTAATTCAGAAAAGAAAAATATGAAAAATAAATAATATTATAAGAAATATAAAATGTAAAAATTAGTTTTTCTAGTTTTTCATTCTTTTCATAAAATAGAAAAATTAAAAAAAAAAAAAATTAAATTCCGTCCATTGAAAATTTATATTAAATTTTTTAAATTAATATCAAAGAATTTTTAAATTATTATTTAAAAAATGCGGAAAAATATTAATTTTCATTCTGAGAATCAAAAAAAAAAAAAATTTTCCATTTTTTCAGGTAGATTTGCAAAAATGAAAAACGCCGGCGGCTATTATGTAATTGTAATAGAAGATCGAAATATTGGAAAAATTATAGGCAGCGCTACTTTAGTTGTTGAACAAAAATTCATTCACAATTGCGGTTTGGTAAGTTTCATTTTATCAAAAATCCAACGAAAAAGATTATTTTTTAATTTAAAAGAAAAAAAAATGATTATTGCATTTCCAATAAAATAAAAAAATAAAAATTTGTTTCTATTTTAAATTTTTATATTTTTTTTTCTCCCTTATTTTTAGGCAGAATTTAATTCTCCCCTCCCAACTATAATTAAAATATTTCACCAAGTTTTCAATTATAAAAAAAATTAATTTTTATAAGCAAAAGATTAAATTGAAAATTTCAAAAATTATATAATTTTAATAATTATAATTATTATAAAATAATAATATTATAATAATTATTATAATTTTAGTAAAATTTTTAGAAATTTGATATTTTTCCACTATTTTTTTTTTTTTTTAAATTCCCTGACTTTTTCCTGATAAATAATAAAAATAATAAATAATAAATATATATGAAAATAAAAACCTTTTGGGAATTTTTCAAATTGGAAAAAAAATTTTTTTTTCAAAAAAAAAAAAATTCTTTCAGCGTGGTCGATTGGAGGACGTCGTTGTAAATTCCACATATCGAGGGCAACAATTGGGAAAAATTCTTGTAATGGCAGTAACACAACTCTCACGTCAATTGAAATGTTACAAATTATCACTCGATTGTAAAGACAAATTAGTTCCATTCTACGAAAGTTTGGGCTTCAAACTTGAACCTGGAAATGCAAATCAAATGAACGTTCGATTTCCCGCCAATCAAGCTGAACAATCACATTTATGATAAAAAATAGAAGTTTATAATATTAATTTTTACTGCAAAAAAAAAAAGGCGTCTATTTAATTAATTGTACGCAAAATAATAAATTATTTATTACCGATGGAAAATTAATAGAATTTTTTTTTTCAATTTAGAAAAAAAATTTTCAAATTAAGTTTTTAAAAATAATAAATTGTGAATCTCCTACGAGGAAAAAAATGACTTTCAAAAAAATATTGAATCAACGATTTTAAGAAATGTATATTTTCGTGAATAAAATTGTAAAAGAATTTTACAAAAAAAAAAAAATTGAAATCAGTTATTTTTTTTCCCCTTTTTGAAAAAAAAAATTGGAAGAGAATTTTCTTTTTTCAAAAAAAGATTAAAAAATAAACATTTAGCTACTAATATACAAGAATCATAACTATAATTATAATTTTCAAATATTATAGTTATTTTAATTATTATTTATAATTATTAAAATTTATTATTAATTAATATTTTGACTAATTAAAAATTCGTTAATTGTAATATATATATATCTACTTGTTAATTATCCGGAATATTGACGAATCAATCGAATTTAGTCAATTATGAATAATTCAATTTTTTTTTAATTCAATAATTTAGAAAAATTGAATTATTCATAATTTAAAATTTATATTCACAAAATTGATTAATATTATTATTTCGATAATTATTATTTTTTTTTTAAATTGCTAAATTATTTCGTTACTTAACTCTTAATTGTCAAATCTTGATTTATTTTCTTTTTTCATTTTCTAAAATTAAATTAAACTTCTCTGATGAGACGGATTATTTTTCAGTCTCTCGGCTCGTTTTGCTTCAATTTCACGATGTCGTGCCAATTTTCGTTCCTCGCGTTTCTTTTTAGCCTCCTCTAAACGATTTGTTGGTCCTAGAACGACTGGACATAAAAAGCAAAGGGACAAAATTATTTTATAATTTTAAAATTACATTTTTCGAAATCGTTTCAGTTTTTCTTTTTTTATTTTTTACCTGGTTCAAGTGGTGGAAATTCTTCCAACGGTTGAAATTCTCCATCTTCCCAACCAATTTCCAATGATTCTTTTGTATTTTGACTTCCCTCAGCGGCTTCTTCTTCCTGTTTAGAAAAAATAAATATAAAATTAAATGAAAGAACAACAAAAAGAGAAAAAATTTTTTTTTGTTGAATTAAATAAAAGAGGGAAGAAAAAAACGAACCGGCTTTTCTTCAAGACTAATCCATGGTTCGTGAACTTTCGGCGAATGTGAAGAAGGCGAAGCGTTACTCGTTGAAGTTCCCGTCGATGGCTGTTGCTCTAAATCGCCCCAATCACCATTTTCCCAGGAATCCCAATCGTTCTCTGGATTTGGATTCACATTCACCTGCGGATCGTGCTCGTGATCATGATCCAATGATGTCATACTTGTTGCGCTACTCGTCGTCGCCGTTGTACTCGCACTACTCTGCGAACTGCTCGCTTGCTCTGAAAAAAAATTCGAGAACGCAAATTGTCATTTACAAAAAAAAATTCCTTCAACAAAATAATAAATTCAAAACTAGTTTTAAAACAAAAATTTAAATCCAAAAAAGAAAAAAGGGTAGAAAAAATTAAAGAAAAATAAAAATATAATAAATATAAAAAAATGTAATAAAATATAAATCTTTAGTAAAGTTATAAATAAAATAATAATTTTTATAATTAAATTTAAAAAAAAAACATTAAATCTATTAATAAAGAAAAATATATTTTTTTAATTTTGTATTAAACCAAGTCCACTTCTGGGCCGAAAGGCTGAAGCCTAATTAATAAAATAAAAATATTAATAAAGAAAAAAGTAGTTTCTATTATCGAAAAAATGTTTTGAAATTAGTTTTGTTAACTAAAATAAATAAATTTAATTTTGAATAAAACCTACCCAAAGACGCGGGTTTATTTAATAAAATTCTAGAGGCATTGGAAGATTTTGGCGTGTCTGATTGGCTGCGATAGAATTTTGCCGTGACTGCTGTGACGGCCCAACCGGCCCAAGTTGCCGCTGCATTACTCAAACTCGGAGTTGCCGTATTGACATCCGCCTCTGAAGAGAGAGAAAAAAAAATAGAATTAAATTTTTTTTAAAAAAAAAAGAAAAACATTTCTTAAAAAAAGGGAAATTTTTTTTTTAAAAAACTTCTCGTAAAATTTCAATTTCGAAAAAGAAAAATAAAATTATTCTGTCCCCTTTAATTTTCCAAATAAATAATTAAAATTAATATAAAAGTTAGAAAAAAATTTCAAAAAAGGATAAAATTTCAATAAAAAGAAATAAAAGTACAAAAAATTAGAAAATTGTTTTAAATTTCAAAAACTCCATTATTTTTTTTTCTCTATTACTTACCCATTGATTCGCGAAGGCTTGGATCAACGGAAACGCGTTCAAGTTTCGAGAGAAATCCCCGTATTGTCCTAAAAGCATTGTCCCTAACTCCTTTATCCAAATCAGTTGTCAATGGACACATCGCTGGTAAAATTCTTTGCGCCACTTCCTGCAATAAATAATATTGTTGCGTTGCCGTTAATGCCAATATACTTGCGCTTCTTGCCGGTGGAAATGGATCTCTCGTTCCTCTTATAAATGCTCCAATCAAGACCTGTAAACAAATTTTTGAAAAAAAAATTTAAAATTTCAATTTTCATTTTAATTTCTAATGAAAATATTAACAAAATTGAAGAGAGAAAGGAAAAAAAAATCACCTTTTGTCGAATTTGCGGATGCAAATGTTGTGCAATTTTTCCAAGACAAATTGTCGTATTCGTTCGAATTCCACCTTGATCGTCTTTTGATTGAAGTTTCGCAAAATATCTCAAAACTTCAACATTTAAATTATTATAGTCCAATTTTGATGCCAAATGAACAATTGATTTCACTGTTTGCTCGCGAACTGTTGGATTTGTATCTAAAAATCCCCGAGCAACCTAGAGAGAGAGAAAAAAAAAATTAGCATTTTTTCCACTAAATAAACAATTCTTATTTTTATTGAATATTCAGTAAAATAAAAAAATTAAAATTTAGTAAACAAAAACATCAGCCACAAAAAAAAAAAAATAGTATTCTCTCTCAAAAAAAAAAGGAAATTTGGAAAAAATAAAATAAAAATTCTCCATTAACAGAATTTTTTTTAAAAATTACAAATTATAAAATATTAGTAATTAATTATTATTACATATAATAATCGTGAATATCTTTCGTTCATTCTGTCCACACCTGAAGTTAGTATTTGTTATAGGTCTTTTGTTTTTTTTAAATGTATTGTTTGACATTATTTTGTGTTGGTTAAAATTTTTCAATGTTTTTTTGGCATTGTTTGGATAATTAATTTTGAATCGAAATTTTAAAAAATAATTGAATTTTATTTTATTTTAAATTGAAAACTTGGTAAATAATTGAATTTTAAATTGAAAATTTGAAAATAATTTAATTTTAGTTGATTGTTGATTGAAAATTTGAAAATAATTAATTTTAGTTGATTGCTGATTGAAAAATTTGATAATAATTAATTTTGACTCGAAATTTTGGAAAATAATAAAATTTTAATTGAAATTTTGGATAATAATTTAATTTAAGTTGATTTTGGATTAAAATTTCGGGAAATAATTGAATTTTAATTGAAATTTTCGATAATAATTTAATTTAAGTTCATTTTTAATTGAAAATTTCGATAATTAATTTTGAATAGAAATTTTAAAAAATAATTGAATTTTATTTTATTTTAAATTGAAAACTTGGTAAATAATTGAATTTTAAATTGAAAATTTTGAAAATAATTTAATCTTAGTTGATTGAAAATTTTGATAATAATTAATTTTAGTTGATTGTTGATTGAAAATTTTGATAATAATTAATTTTGACTCGAAATTTTGGAAAATAATTGAATTTTAATTGAAATTTTGGATAATAATTTAATTAAAGTTGATGTTGAATTAAAATTTCGGGTAATATTTGAATTTTATTTAATTTTAAATTGAAAACTTGGTAAATAATTGAATTTTAAATTGAAAATTTGGAAAATAATTCAATTTTATATATAATTTAATAACATATAATAATAATTTTCATTATTATCATTTAATATGAAATAATATTCTAATAAATTTAAATTATTATTGATAATATTAATCTTTAATTTCTTTATAACAAACAATTAAATACTCAATTTGGCGCGCTTGCGCGCGTTTAATATTGCTAGTTAGTAATAGTAATTATAAAATATAGCAAAAAAAATAAAAATACCTGTGGAAAAATTGCCTCATTCACTGTTGTCGATTGCAAATGATTAATATACTGATCGAGTTGTCGAAGTAGATGAAGTCGCGTTGCACGATCATTGGATGCGAATAATTTCACGACACATGAGACAACACGTTTTTGATATTCAGCATCGGGTAATTGTCGGCCAAGTTGAAGAAGTGGTGGTAAAACGGCACTACCAGCATCGCCATATTCAAAAGCAGCGACAAGAAGCGGTAATATTTTATATCTACCAACACCATCGGGAAATGAATCCAATTGACTTGCCAATTGTGAAAAAAATCGTCCCTTTTCACTTCGTTCTTTAACTTGTATTTCCTCAAGAAATAATAGTGCATCGACAAGATCATTTTTAAAAAATCCCCCATTACTACGACAACGTGCAATAACATCAGCGGGATTTGGTCTTCCCTCTGCGTTTAATCCTGTTAATTCTTGGAAGACTGACAATAATTGTCGGGGAATCTTGAAAATAAAATATATATATAATAATTAATTTAATATATTTTAATATTTAATATTTAATATTTAATATTTAATATTTAATATTTAATATTTAATATTTAATATAATAATTTCATAATAAAAATTGTAATTATTCTTTAAAAATTTAACTATAGTACAATAATTGTATTTTTTTCCAATTTTTCTATTTTTTTTACCTTCTCTTTCTGTTCAAGATTCATTGAGGAAGAAAGTGGACCGTTAAATGTCTCCCAAATCAATGTTCCCAGACCCCACATGTCAATAGAACTGTAAATAAAATAATTTTCATTATGTATTTTTAAAAAAGAAATCTAATTACTAATTAATTAGATAAAATAAATAAATATTTAATACAATTTGTTTAAAATGAAGAAATTTTATTACAAAAAAAAAATATTTGCAAAATTTGTAGGAAAAATAATTTTTGTCATTTCTCAAAGAAGAAGAGAAATTATCTAATTAATAATTTATTTATTTAATCACAATCTAATTAATTAATAATTAAGAAAATAAAAATTAATAATATTTAATTTCAAAAATTTTTCAACAATTGTTAAAATAAAGAAATATGGAAAAAATTTGTAGGAAAAATAATTTTTTGTCAAAAAAGAAATTTATAATAATTAAAATTATTAAAAATTATTAAAATTAATTAAATATATATATAAGAAAAGAAATAAATATTACCATTTTGTTGTTGGTTTAGAACTATCTTTGGCCTCAGGTGGACGATAAATTTGTAAAGCTTGCGGCAACATTGTGTAAAGTGAATCGACAATTGTCATATATTCAACGCCACCCAATTTCCATTCTCCGCTTTCTTCATTGACAAAAACCGACCACATATTCACATTATTGTGTCGTAAATTTCCATCGTTATTTAAAAAGCTCAATGCTCTCTAATAAAAAAAAAAAAAAATTTCCCCATTTTATTTTTTTTATATTTAATTTTCACTTTTTATTTTTATTGAAATAAATCCAAACAGTCACAAAGAACAATTATTTTAGTGGATTAGCAAAAATAATAGAAAAAATGCCACAATATTGCAATTAGAAAAAAAATTATAGAAATTATAAAAAAAAATAAATTATAAAAATGAGAAATTAGAAAATAGAAATTTAAAAAAAAAAAACTAATTTTAATATATTTTTTTTAATTTGTATTTGTAATTAATTTTTTAATTTTAAAAAGAAAAAAAATTCTAAAAAACAATTTAATTACAAAATCAGGTAAATTAAATTAATAAGCAAAAATTATCAAAATATAAATCAGTGAAAATTTAATATTGTAGAACTGAAAAAAATAAAAATTTAAAAATAATAATTCTTACCGTTATTTGAAATATTCCCCAGGAAAAGTAGAGTTCTCGTTTAGAGCCTTCGCCCATTTCTGACATTGTTGCAAGTCGACTATGCAAAGGTATTACTCTTTCCGTTGCAAGATAAACCATTTTTTCCGTCTGAAAATTTAAAAGAAAAAAAATTTTATAAACTTTATTTATTTTTAATAAATTAATTAATTTTATGAATTATTTTCCAAAATATGAAATTTTTTACATAGAAATAAATATTTTAAAACAATTCTTCGGAAATAAATAATAAATAAATAATAATAATAATAAATATTTACCTCTAAACTATCGAGATATGAAAGAATACTTGGATGTTTAAGTGTTTTTAGCCTTTTAACTGCGGCTCTTGCAATTTCAAGTTGATATTCTCCTCCATTTTTTATATCAAAAACAAATACAGAAACTTCTGCATCGCCCGTTGAGCCCTGAAAAAATTTTATTCAATTTTATAATAAAATTTGTTTTTGTTCGGTAGGTTTTATTTTTTATTTTTTTTTTTTCCCCCATTTTATCAAAAATCCAACGAAAAAAGAAAAACATTAAATTCTTTTTTAATAAATAAATAATAAAAAGAAAAAAGGTAACAAAAAAATAAATTTTTCTTACATTTATATTCAAATACTAAAAAAAAACCATTTCAATAATTGAAAAAAAATAATTATTTGGTAATTAAATTATTTTTAATTTTTTTTTTTCAATTTTTTTTTTAATTTAAAAATTTAATTAATCTTTAAAATTAATTAAAAAAATTTTTTTAATTTTTACGAAAAATTTCATTTAAATATTTTTATAATAAATTAATTAATTTAATAATTAGTAAATAAATTTGATAAAAATTAAAAAAATGGATGAAAATTAAAATAATTTCATAGAAAAAATTTTATTTAATAAAAAATCTATTTTTTTTTCTTTTTTTTTTTTTGAAATAATTTAAACATTTCGAAGAATTTTAAATATTTTCAAATTGTAGAAAAAATGAATCAATAGATTCTTTAAAAAATTAATTTTTAACGAAATTTTGCAATGCAATAAATATTTATATTAATTTTACGCAGTACTTCCATATGCGTTGAGGAAAATTAAAAATTACAAAAAGAAAATAAGTTTTTCGTAAATAAAAACAAAAAATTAGCTTTCGATACAAAAAAGAAAATCATTAAAACTTAATATTAGTGAAAAATATTACAAACGTACAAAATATTATTTTAAATAAAAATTGTTTCTAAATAAACAACAAAAGAAAATTAAATTCAAAATTAAAGTTAAAAATCAAAAATATCAATTGAACATAACCTCAAAAAAAAAAAAAAAAAAAAATTTCCGCAAATTAATCAAAAAACGCCTTCACCCCTAATATATAGTTTTGTGAATTTTCTAAACAGAAAAAAAAGAAATAAAATTCAAAATTTTACCTTTCTTCTCGCTCGATGAAGTGACCAAATACTTTTATTTGTAAAACCACTGACCGGTTCTCCAATTTCATAAGGAAAATCTTTGGTAGGATCACGAGAGAAAAACGACCACATTTTTTTTTTTTTTATTATTTAAACAATTCTCTAGTTATTCAATAAAAATGAGAATATTTCATTTTTTTTCCCCTCGTGCCACAACAAAATAATCACAAATAGTAAAACATCTGATTACACACATATATATACGTCACTATTTTTGAATCATAATAATAATTGTATATATATGTCACTTTTTGACGTTTTTTTTTTGACACATGAAAAGTTCTCGCATGGCGAAATTTGTTCTAAAATTTCCTGACGTTTCGTCGCGTTGGGTCACGTGATCAAGACAAACACCTATTTTAATATACAAATTGAATTAAAAATATTTTTTCAAGAAAAAAACTATTACAAACTTGTTGATAAAACATATTTTCTTAATTCCATCCACACGCGAAAGAAATAAAAAAAAAAAAATATGAACGAAACGGCTCCCAACCTTGTGACAACCTATTCATTTAAAGGTGGTAAAGAATATGTTTTGAAAATGAGAGTAACAACACTTCGCGGGAATTCACAGCGTAGTCTTGATTTATCAGTGACTGATAAATACACTGGCGAGGATTGGCACTCAGCTTACGATATCGCGTGTAATTATTACTTCAATTATTTTTTTATTAATTATTAATTAAAAAAAAAAAAAACTCCCGTGTCTTTGTGTGTTTGAACTTTGACAGGTTTCTTCCTCTGTGTATGTGATTTGAGAGTCACTGTGCGCACAAGGAAACACGAACTCTGGTGGACAAGTTTTCTACTTTTTAAAAGTAGCGGGAATTTTTTGAAATTTGAAAATGATAAATTTTTCAAAAATTACGATTAGTTTTTATTAATTTTCAAATTAGATATTAATATATTATTATTTATTGCTTTTTTTAAATAATTACTATTATTATTATTATACTATTATTACTATTATAAAAAATATATTTTTTATTCCAAATAAATTGTATTTTAAATTTAAAAATACATTAATGCCAAAAATAAATAGAATAAAAAATAAATTATTTCGCATTAATAAATTGAAAATTTATTGTAATTTAAAATAAAAATAATTTAAAATACAATTTTTTAATTTGAAATAAGAAATATATTTTAAAAATCTAAAAAATGGTAAAAAATTTGAAAATTATGGTTTAATTGATAAATTTTAGGAAATTTTTGTTTTCCTTTTTTTTTTTTTTGCTTTCAGATATCGAAAATTTGACTCACAAGACGGGAAATTATAAACAATTTGACATATTTGTGGCGATGTTACAATCAGGACTTTTAAAAGTAAACAAACAAAATATTAATTAACAATATTAATTATTTTGATATTTTTAAAAAAATAATCAATAATTTACAAAAAAAAAAATTTTTATCAATTTTTACTTAAAAATTTTTAAAAATCAACATTAATTGACTATGGGATTATTTTTCTTGCAAATAATAAAAATGTAACGAATAATAATTAATTAATAATTAATCAATAATAAATTAATAATTAATTAATTATAAAAAAATATCTTAAAAAAAATCATTAAAAAAATTGAAAATTAAAAAAATACAAAGAAAATCATTATAAATAAAGTAAATAAATGATTATAATAAAAAAAATAGAATAAAATAATAATTAATGAAAAATAAAAATAAAAATGATTTTTTAATGAAATTTTTAGACTAGCGAGTCCATTAGTTTGGATCTTCTCACTTTTGAGGATTTGGAACTTTTACGATCGCGACGTGCTGACAATTATTCAAATCCTCCAGTAAATCACAAAAATAATAATCGACGTTATTTAATTCTCACATATACAGTCGAATTCGATCGGTAAATAAATACAAAAATTCATGTAAATAAATTCCATTTTTTTTAAATTTACAAAAAATATCTACTTTGAATTTATTTTCTATTTCTATTGTTTTTTTTACTTTTCTCTTTATTATTTTTATAATTTTAAATATTTTTTTTAAACGTTAAAAATGTTTATTTTAATTTTTGTTTAATGTTAAAAATTTCTATTTATTATTTTTTAAATGTTTATAATAATTTCTTATTTATTTATTTCTTTATAAAGAAAAAAAAAATTAAATGCAATAAATTTTTTTTTGTAAATTTTCATCAAAAGTTAGAAAAAAAAAGTCAATTTTAGAATTAATTGATTTTTAAAACCGAATCAAAAAAAATTTTTTTTTGCCCAATGATGATAATTTCTTATAAGAATCCATTATCCATTACCTCTGGAGTATTGTGGACCTCCAGATCCATCAATTTTACAAGCGACAATTCGAAAACTCGAAGCGGAAATCGAGAAACTCAATTCCACTGGAGTCAATAAAGATTTACAAACAAGAGTCGAACAATTAACATTAGCCAATCGAAAACTTATTCAGGATAATCAAAAATTAATTTCCGGTAAACATTTACGAAAGAAACAAATTTAAATTTTATATAATTTATAATAATAGTAATTAATAAAAATTATTAAAATTATTATTATTTTCATTACTATTATTATTAATTAATTAATTATTAATATTAAATTAATATTTTCTAAATATTGTGAAAATTTCGTGGAATTTTTCAAGAGAACAATTTTGCAAAATAAAAAAAAAAAAAATTGAATAATAAAAGTAAAGAAAATAATAATAAAAATATATAATAAAAAATACAATACCTAATAGAAATAGTAATAAATCATATGTAATATTTAATAAATATTTAAAAAGAGAAAGAATAAATAAATAAATAGGAAAAATTAAAAAAAAAAAAAAAAATTCTCACAGGAAAAGGATCTCGACATTTGTTGAATTCGGTGAAATCATTGGAGAGAAATGTCGCCGAGGAGAGAGCGTCATTTCGTTCGCAAATACAAAAATTGCGTGCTGAAAATGCGTCTCTTAATGGAAAAATTCGACAATTGCAACAGCAACAACAACAAACAACGGGAAATCGAAAATTTCCATTGTCAAGAAATGCAAGTCCATCATTTAGAAAACGTTGCACAACTCCGCCACGTTCATCGCAAAGTTATCCAAATTTTCGACAACAAAGTCGAAGTCAATCGCCGGCATTTTCCAATCATGCAAAAACTTCCAGTTTATCACGAAGTAACTGAAACAAAAAAAAAAAAAACAAAACTTCTCCAAAAAAACAAATGCTAATTAAAAAAAAAAAAAAATTTTAATTATTTCTATTTTGTCTAAATCTTTCCATTGTCCCAATAATTTTCTAAATTAATTAATTAATAATAAATAAAATGAATAAATAAATAATTTAAAAAAATTAAATTATTTAACTAGTAAAAAGGCTGAGAAAAATAAAAATATCCTTTTCTACTAAAAATACAAAAAGTAGTTAATTAATAAGTTAATAAATAAATAAATATTTTCTTCTCAGGTTCCTCGGTTGAGTCAAGAAAATCAAAACATTCACCCCGACGAATCACGAAAAAATCCAATAGGCTCAAAACCAAAGGTAAAATAACATTATTTTCCATAAATTTTGATTTAAAGAAAATTAAATTTTGAATTTAATTAAAAATTTGTAATTAAACTAAAATTAATTAAAAACTATTTTTTTAATTTATCATAAAAATCGATAAATAATTAAAATTTAGAAACCAATTTCGAAATCTAGAATTAAAATTAAAAACTAGTATTTTTTTTTAGAAATTTATCACAAAAATCGTTAATTATTAATTTGAAATTTAGAAATCGATTTTCGAAACCTAGAAACGAGGATCCGAACACTGCAAAAAATGCTTCATGAAGGAATCAATTTTTACTAATATTATTATTATTATTATTATTGAAAAAAAAAACTTCAGAGAGAATCTACCATTTCTTTTGTATATGTACATGTAATATACTTAAAAACAAAAATAATACATCAAGCTTGAAAATCGTCGCTAAATGTTATTGTATATTGTAAACCTAAAATATTTACAAAAAGGCAAAGAAAAAGAAAACAAAAGGGAAGAGTCACAATTAGAAAGAAGAATGAACTCGATTTCAATAAAAAAAAAAAAAATAAAAATCACTTCTTCTTTTTTTTAAAAAAAAAGTTTATAAACAAAAATATAACCGTATTTTTTTTTTTTAACAAATAAAATTAAATCGAGACAAAAATTTTCTTTTCTAAAAAAAATCCCTTTCGCCTGTTTTTCTAAAAAAAAAATATATATTCCCAATTTTTTCCTTTTTATAAAAAAGGCAATTAAGTAATTTTTATAAATTTTCCAAGTGAGAAAATTTAAAAAATTTTTAATTTTTTACTTAATTCCCCTCCCCCCCCCTACAAATTTTTCATTTACATTGAGAAAGAAATTTCTTTTCAATGAGAAAATATTTGTCGAAGAAAAAACAAAACAAATACCTTTTTTTTTAATCCTCCAAAATTTGCGAATTAAAATTTTTTAATATTATTAACTAAGTTTGTCATTTTTTGTCTCATCTTTTTTAAGAAAGGCAATTGCTTGTTGAACAAGTGATAATTTTTCATTATTCTCCAAAATTTCATTTTCAATTTCTGTTGAATTTGTTAATTTGTCAATTTTTTTTGTTATTGGTTTCTCGGGTAATTGTATTTTTGTCTTTTTTGCCATATCGACAATTGTTTTGTTTAAATAATTAATTTCGGCCTCTTGTTGTTTTGATGTTTCATACAATGATTGTATGTCGTCGGTGAATTTTTGTAATTGTTGTTGACGTATTTCTTCTTTTTTTGTTTCTTTTGCAACTTGACGATTATATTCAAGTATTAAACAACCACCGGCAACGCTAAATATAAACATTTCACCAACTAAATTTGCACCCAATTCAATTGCCATTGCTTCATTTAATTTTGCGACTTTTGTTGGTTTTCCCAAATTCATTACATACATTTTTGCCTTCACTTCCGCCCAATGATAAACTGTCGAAAAAAAAGAAGAAAAAAAAATTAGAGAAATATAAAAAATTAGACTTTTTCATTTTGAATTTTTTGTTCTTTAAAATTTAATTACATTTAATTTTAATTTTACTGAAAAATAAAAAATTATTTTTGTTAAAAATTTTCAATTAAAAATATTTAAGAATGTCGAGAAAAATTAAAATAATTTTAAATAATTTAATTTTTTAATTAAATGAGAAATTCAATTAATTTACAATTGGAAAAAAATTTTTAACATTAAAAAAACGAAGTATTTTTTTTTAATACAGTGAAATAAAAAATTAAATAAATAGAAATTAAAATTAGAAGAAAGAAATAATTAAACAATTTAAATTATCAATAAAAATTGATGAAAAAAAAAACAATTTTTTTTACTTACATTGTGCTGGAGGAATAATAAAATATGTTCTAAAAACCGGATGATTTTTTGCTTGTTGAACGAGTAATTTTGCAATAGGCTTGCTTATTTGTTTTATAAAAAGAACACCCAATTTAAGGGCTGGAAAAACTCCCACGACCATTTTTTGTTCTTTTTTTTTTAATTCTATACAATTTTTTTTTTGGTTGCAAATAATTAAATTCAGTTTCTTAGCTGAAAAAGAAAATTCATAAATTAGTAATTTTTTACAACAGAAATTATTGTAATTACAAAATTTTGTTAAAATTACGTAATTACTATGAATAATTAATTAAAAATTTTTTTTTAATAAATAAATAAATAATAATAATAATAATAAATAATTTTTAATTGCAAAAATTCTTAAAATTACACAATTACTAATAATAATTATTAAATAATTTTCCAAATGTTTTTTTATAAATAAATAATAATAATAATAAATAATTAATTTTAAATTTCAAACTTTCTTAAAAATTACATAAATACTAAAAATAATTATTTAATAATTTTCAAATTGTATTTTTATAAATAAACAATAATTATTAATAATAATTAATTTTCAATTAAAAACTTTCTTAAAATTACGTAATTACTAATAAATTATTTAATAATAATTAATAATTTATTTATGATATATAATAATTTTATTTTGAATAAATAAAATTTATTCTGTAAATTTTATATTATTATTATTATTATTATTATTTTAATTATAATTATTATTATTAGAAATTATTGTTGTTAAAATTATTAAATTCGAAATAAAAAAATAACCAAGTAAAAAAAATTTTAAATAAAAGACAAAAAACAAATGCAATAAATAATTTACATAACAATCAAGAATCATGAAAAAAAATTAATAATACAATTTCTAGAAATAATTTAAGAAAACTACCTTCAGAATAACAATGATTTTTCAAATATTATAAACAATAATAGAAAAACAATTTATTAAAAAAAAAATGTTCGGAAGCAAACAAAAAAATCTACAAAAAAAAAATCAATTACTATTCTATGTAATTTTAACTAAATATAATTTTGATTTCGAATTACAAAAATTGACCATGAAAAATAACTATTTTTGTATATAAAATAAAAATCGACCTTGGACTCCGCGTAACATTTCCTAACCTCTATTAAAAAAAAAAGTTATAACTAATTTAATAAAACTATTAATAATTAATTATGCTTGTACTTTTGGAAAAATAATAAAAACAAATTTTAAAAATTCTTGTCATTTATTTATAAATTCGAGAAAAAATAGACAAATTCTTACCTTATAATCGTGTAAGCAAATGAATCATGATATTAAATAAGAAAGACACTGAAAGACACTGTTTATTAAAATAAACTCGATTATATAACATAATCAATAGTCAATTTCGAGTTTTGGGTGAATTAAAAAAAAAACACATTTGTAACTTTCTCTCATTCAAAAGAGCAAAATTTATTAGTAAGTTAAATATCGCACATTGCAGACGACAAAAAATTGACGTCCATCTTGATGGCCATTGTAATAATCCACAAATCAAAAAATTCTTTTCCGTTTTCTATTTTAAGGAACGTAATTTAAAAATTCAATCAGTATCACTATTTTTGTAAATTTCTAATTTTTCTTTCAAAAAAAACTAATTTTCCATTTATATTTCCTTTTTTCCCCCTTACATTTTCAAATTTCCCGTCCGCGTCACGTGATTAAACTATGTCCACCAATAAAAAACCAAACCGCTTCATTCCCGTCTCTTCATTGGTCAACCAGAAACACACAGTAGATTCTAACCAAACCTCACGTCGAATAAGGCCTTAGCAGAATAGATTCTTGAACGGGAACGCAATCGTAAACGGAAACGTAACAATGTGTAAGAGAAGGATAGCAAATATCTTTATTCTTCTCTCACCCATTCTTACGTTTCCGTTCACGATTGCGTTCCCGTTCAAGAATCTATTCTGCTTAGGCCTATAAGAGTCAAAAACACCGATCCCGTTTTTTTTTTTTTACAAAAATTGATTTAAAAAAAAAAAAAAAACTCCTGTGCGTGAAAAAATGTAAAATCTTTAACCGGTTTATTAATTGTGTCAAATTTTCGATATGTGAATTAGTTAGAGAAAAGGGGTAAAGAAAATTAAATAAATCGGAAACGAGAGTGAGAGAGAAAAAAAAGTGTCCGCGAATATTCCCTCCCTTTTCTTTTGTTTGTTCACTCGTTTTGTATATAGCGGACAAGTTCTTCATATATATATGTATAAATATATATATATATATATATATATATATATATATACACGTTTGCCTGCTTTACATGTCTCTCGTATATATGTATCTTCGCGAAGAGTAGCAACAGCAGCAGAAGCAGCAGTACACACAAATACAAAACTAATTGCAAGATACATGGTTGTAGAATGTATCAAATGTATTTGTGTTCACCAAGTTCTTATCTCGTGAATTTCCGGACTTTATCGTTTTTTGACAGATTGTCGACATTGTTTACTCTCGTTTTTTTTAATTTACACGTGAAAAGTTTTTAATTCAACGGCCACAATATATAATACCGGTCATCATCATCATCTCATCATTATGTTCGATTGTTGTTACCAAGTGTGATTCCTCGTTGTCGGAGTGGCTTTAAACTGCTGTGCATGGTATGTCATTTTTGTATATTATATATACATATATATATATTAAATATTACACTATAAATTGATTCGTAAATGGAAAAATTAATTTCTCTTTTCTCCATCTAAAATTTTTTTTTTAACTATTAATAAAGGGGAAAAAAAGTAATATTTTTTCTTTTGTTTCTTTTGAAAAATATATTTTGTGTGCGTGTAACATATATATATATACTTTGCATCTGCTTTTTCTCTACTCCTTTTTTTTCTCTTTTGTTTTCTTGCTGTGTGTGTGTTTGAAAAGTGGAATAAAAAAAATGTCCCTTCTGAAAATAAGATGGTTTCAATTTTTAGAATTCTCTCTCTCTCTCTGACTTTGTTTCAGTGGAAGATATATTTTTTTTTTGAGTTTTTTTTTTCTTATTCATTATTTCTGTGAGAGATTAAATTTTTCGTTTGCTAATTTTTTTTTTAAATTTCGTTTCTTTGCTTCTGTATTTTTTTTTTTTTCGTAAAATTTTTTGCGGGAAGAAAAAAAATTAAAATTTTCGCTTTTAAGTTTCGTTAATTTTTTTTTTTGTATTATATAAAGTGATGATAAAAAAATATATATACATTAAAATTTGAAGCTCTATTTTGCTAATTTTTACAGATTAGATAATTTTTAGATGCTTTAGATTTGACAAAAATTTTTTTTTTCGATAAATACAGTAATTTTTTCATAATCAGTACAATTTTTTCTTTTTAATTTAGCAAAAAAATTTACTGTAAAATAAAAATAATTTATTTCCATTCAGAAATATCTAATCAATCGCAAAAAAATTTTTTTTTTTAAATAAACATTTGTGTAAAATAATATTTTAATATTTCTGTACTTGAAGTTTTGGAAAAAAAATCTTTTTTTTTATTTCTAAAAAAGGTAAGAATTAAACTTAATTTTTTTTTCAAATATATTTAAATTTAAAAAGAAAGAAAATAGATATTCAAATTTTTGCAAAAAAAAAAAAAAAATTGTCGGTATTAATAACGGTTTTTTAAAAATTCGAAACAAGTGCTTTGTTACATCACGGAAATTTATTGAAAGTTTGAAACAGTAAATATTTTGAAAGGTGTCGCAAGGTCAACAAGAAATTCAAAACTTGCGACTCTGCTGAGTTTGTTAAAAGATTAAAAGCAAAGTGTTCATGCTACACAAAATTTTTTAAAGGTCAGCGGATATCCTCTTGATAGTAGCTTAACACGTTCACTGACCAAAGAATTATGGCATTCAATTTTTTGTTCTTTTTTTTTTATTCATTTTTTTTTTCAATCCACAATATTGTGGATGAATTTTAGTTATTTGTGTCCTGACACGGAAAAATAAACAATTAAATAATTAATAAAATAATAATAATAATAACACATAATAATCATAATAATAATAATAATAATAATAATAATAATAATAATAATAAATAAAAATATAATAATAATATAATAATAATATAATAATAATAAATATAATAAATAATAATAATAATAATTACAACGATAGAAAAAAATAAATTTTTTTTAATTTTAATCAATGTATTCCAATAATGTAATTTGTTTAATATTTCCTTAATTTGATAATTAATAAACGTGTAAAAAAAAAGTGAGAAATTTAAAGAATTTATTATTTTTTTTCATGTAGAATAAATAATTTTTTTTTTTTTTTTTTTAATCTTTTCTTGTTGATAATTAATAAAATATTTATATGAAAGAGATATAAATGTAAATTCCGTTGTTTTATTTTTAAAAAATATTGATAAAACTATTTTTTTTCTCTATGAAAATTTGTGTAAAATAAAAAAATTTTTTTTTCACAAATAATCAGTTAGAATTTTTAAATTAATATTGAATTGGATAGAAAAAATCCTTAAAATGGAGGACAATAGATTTCCAAAAATTGCATATAACAGACTAAGAGCTTTGAATCCTAGGGAAACTAAGAAATTTAAATTTAACTGGGCGTGTAAGTTGGGTTGTATTTTTGGGGAGTTTGGTGAGAGGGAGGCTTGGGAATCTCTGAGTCTTGAATCTTTGCAAAAATCTAAGATACATTGGATAAATTTATATGAAAAGCTTCTTAAACAAGGAGACTTTCAGAGGGCCCAGTCCTCCTCCTCACTAATTCTCTATCCTTATCTCGAAATAAAAGACAGACCGCATCTATTAACAAACAAAAGAATCCCATTGGATGACTATAGATTATTTATCCAACTTAGATTGTTTAATAAATATCAGCCGAGATTTGTATGGAAGAAAAAATTCCAATGTCTAAAAAGAAATGACTATTGTAACCTTTGCATGGACATTTTAATTGAGAAGAATTATATTCTCCATATTTTAATAGAATGTAGGGAACTAAAAGAGGAAAGAAAGAAAATTATAAAAAATACCGATGACCTAAGCGAGATGAGTGAAAAATGGATGAAGATTTTAAATTATCCGGATTTTAACTCGGTCAGAAGAATAGCCAAATTTTTATTAAAAATAATCGAATAAAGAATTTCTTTTTTATTTATCAGTGTGAAGTATATTGTATGAGTGTATAATTTTTAGTATTGTATTTCGAGCTCCTTTGTATGGATTTTTGTAAATCCTAGGACAAATAAATGAATATAATAAAATAATAATAGGTAATAATAAAATTTTAAACAAATTAAAAAAGTAAAAAATTACATTTTAAACAAATTAGAAAAGTAAAAAATTAAATTTTGAACAAATTAGAAAAGTAAAAAATTAAATTTTAAACAAATTAGAAAAATGTAAAGAAATAAAATCGTTAAAAAAAGGGATGCAAAAAATTAAATTTTCAATTAAATAAAAAAGAAATGAAAAAAAAATATGAAAATAAAAATAATTTGAAAAATATATTTTTTTAATATTGATAAAAAAAATATATTTTTTGATATTTTTCCTCATATATATTAAACGATTGATGAAAAAAAAAAAAAAAAAAAAATTGTTATAAATTTATTCTGTATAGTAATTTTTTTCTTCTTTAAAATTATTATGTAAAGATAATTATAGTAATGAAATTTTTTTTTTTTTATTAGTATTATTTGCTAATATTGCATTTTTTTTTTATTTCATTGAAATAAAATTCATTAAAATAATATATATATAATAATAAAAAAAAGTAATAAAATACCTAAATAATAATAAATTAATATTTTTTTTCAGGGTGGGACCCTCCCTCCTCCCAAGAATGGCGGGGAAGGATGGGAAGGCGGAATCAAAAGGGGGCGATGTCACCATAAAACAAGGCCTTATGGTGAAAAGATCCCAAAATAAAAAACGTTTCACACCCGTTAATTACAAACAACGATGGTTCGTCTTGACTCGTCGACATCTCATTTATTACGACGGTGTTGGAGAGGTAATGTTTTTGCACACCCCCTACTTTTTTTTTTTTTATTTTCAAATTAAATTAAATTTTTTTTTGTTTAATTAATTAATTAATTTTTTTTGTTTAATTAATTAATTAAATTTTTTTTGTTTAATTAATTAATTAAATTTTTTTTCTTTAATTAATTCATTAAAATTTTTTTTTTAATTAATTAATTAAATTTTTTTTGTTTAATTAATGAATTAAATTTCCTTTTAACAAATATTAAGAAATAAATTAATAATAATAAAAATTTACAATTTCCGGGTAATTTTTTTTATACAATTTAAAAAAAGGAAATTTTCTGTAATTACAAAAAAAAAAAAAATTATTTTGATCTACGTTTTTAATTTCTACAACGCAAATTAATGTCAAACTATTTTTTATTTAGTATCATCAAACATTCGTGGAAAAAAAGAAAATTACAAATCGGTTGAATAATTCAGTTTTTTTTTTTTTTTTATATAAAAATTTGTTGTATCTACGAGTTTCTTTATTTTTCTGAGGTCGCTAATTACGTCAAATGTAAATCCTCACGCTACCGAAAAAATTCTTTTTAAAATAAAGCAAAAATTTCGTTATTCACAAATTAAAAAAAAAATTTTTTTTAAATATCATTAAAAGGCAAAAAATCTGTATCGTATAATTAATAAAATATTAAATTAAAAGCCTTTCATAATAATAATAATAATAATAATAATTTTTTTTTAAAGCAAGAATCGAAAAAATATAAAATTCCATACATGGTATAAAATTCAAATAAAATACATATGAAAATATATTTTCACTTCGGCAAAAAAAAAAAAAACGCGCCTATTTTTCGAAATTTAATTTGAATAATAAATTTGAATTTGTTATTAACAAAAAGGAAAAAAAATATATATATATATATATAACTGCTTTTAACTTTAGAGAAGCGTATTTTCTAAAATTGAACCTGGAAAAAGCTGATAATTTAATTTCACTCGGATTTTAATAGGATTCGATCGTCAACTTCGCTGGCCGATGTCCATACTATATATATATATATAGATACATATACAAATAATAAAACTCTCACTAAAGCTTTAAATTTGAATGCTAAACGCGAACAATTTATCATTAACGAGATTGGCACACTTTGCATTCATCATTATTATTGTTAAACGCGCGTCTCGACACAAAAATATTTTCAAAATTCGCATTTTCAAATTGTAAATATTATATACCCAAAAAAAAAAAAAAAAAAAAATTTGGCATTTTTGTTTATGTTCTTTTTTGCTTTAAATCATTTTTGGACTTTTTTTTTTTGAAAAAGAGCAACAAATATGAATTCAAAAAATTCCGTATTCATGTATAAAATAAATTTAAATATTAAAAATAATTTTTAAAAAAATTTAGCAAATTAATAAATAAGGGGATTTATTACATATTTTTTTATTTCAGACCATTTATAATAAAACATTATTATTATTATTATTATTATTATTATTATTATTATTATGCTTATTATTATTATTATTATTATTATTATTGATAGCAATAATTTTTCAACGGGTGATTGATTGAAAAACACTTTTCTCAATTTTTTTTTCGTTTCTTTAAAAGTGTTTTTCTGTAATATATTATATATAATTTTCTTCCATTTTCAAAATTTCGAAAAAATAAAATTTTTACACCAAATAAAATTAAAAAGATTTGTCCTTGATTTTTTTTAGAATTATTTTTTAAAAATTAGAATTTTTTTTAAATTAATTAAAATTTTTTAGAATTTTTTTAAATTTATTAATAATAGAAGAATTAGAATTTTAGAATTGAATTAGAATTAGTTAAAATTAGTAATTAATTATAGTTATAAATTAATTATTAGGAATTAATTTAATTAATAATTTAAATTAGTTTAGAATTTTTTTTAGGCAGTTTTTTTTTAAATATTATTAAAAAAAAAATTTTAGTGGTATTTATTACATGATATTTATTAATTTGCAAAAATTTTTTTTAATAATTATTTTTACTAATTTCTAAAATTAATTTTTTTATACAGAAATTTGGAATTTTTTCGAAATTTTATTATTACAGACAATTTATAATAATAAATTTTTTTTATTATTTTATTATTATTAGTATTATTATCATTATTATTATTTTTATTATTATTATTATTATTATTATTATTATTATTATTATTGTTATTATATTAGTATTTTTATTATTTTGAGTGAATTAAAATTATTAAATAAAAATAAAAGAGAAAAAATGAAGAAATAGAAAAATGATAGGAAAAAAAAAATACCGCGGATATAATTAATTAATGAAGTGACAATTTCAAAAGAGAGAGTGAGTGAGAGAGAGAGAGAGAAATTAACGTATTCGTATATTGTTAAATGATTTGTCGATATAGAGGCGACGAATGCTGATTGTCAACTCAAGCCTTCAAATTGCCTCTTGCGTACTGACCCGCTCTTGTGGGAGTGCTTATTTACGTTTCACTATATAACAATACCTTACAGGTACATGAACATGTCTTTGTTGACACTTCAAAAGTTGTACATATGTGCATCTGTTTTCAATACACATTTATGGTATATGTATTTAGAAATTTCTACTACAACTACTTGACAATGATATTTTTCTTCTTCTTCTTCTTCTTCAACAAAAGAAAAATAAAATATAATATAAAAAATGAAAAAAAAAATTCAAAAATAATATACAGAAAATTTAAAAAATTTTAAATACTGTAATGTGATAAATTTTATTATATATATTATTCAAAAATTGAAAAAAAAAATTAATTCAAATTGTTTTTAATTATCTTAAAGTATTTAGAATTATCTTCAAGTATTTTAAATTATCTTGAAGTATTTTAATTTATTTATAAGTATATTTTTAAATATTTTTAATGATTTGATGTATACTTTATATTATCTTAAAGTATTTGGAATTATATTAAAGTATTTAGAATTATCTTGAAGTATTTTAATTTATTTATTAGTATTTTTAAATATTTTCAATGATTTGATGTATTTGCAATACTCTGAATTATCTTAAAGTATTTGGAATTATCTTAAAGTGTTTGGAATTATCTTAAAGTATTTAGAATTATCTTCAAGTATTTTAAATTATCTATAAGTGTTTTTAAATAATTTTAATTATCTTGAAGTATTTTTGATTATTTTGAGATAATTTAAATTATCTTAAAGTATTTAAAGATTTTTTTTTCAATTATCTTGAAGTACTTTTAATTATCTAGAAGTATTATAAATTAGTATTAAATATTTTGAATTATCAGAAAGTATTTGTAATTATCTTGAAATACTTTAAATTATCTATAAGTATTTTTAATTATCTTGAAGTACTTTTAATTATCTTGAAGTATTATAAATTAGTTTTAGGTATTTTGAAATATCTTTAATTATTTGGAATTATCTTAAAGTGTTTGGAATTATCTTAAAGTATTTGAAATTATCTTAGAGTATTTGGAATTATCTTAAAGTATTTGGAATTATATTGAAGTATTTTAAATTATCTTAAAGTATTTGAAATTATCTTAGAGTATTTGGAATTATCTTAAAGTATTTGGAATTATATTGAAGTATTTTAAATTATCTTAAAGTATTTGGAATTATATTGAAGTATTTTAAATTATTTCGAGATACTTTAAATATATATTTTTTTAATTATCTTGAATTAATTTGAAGTATTTTGAGTTATTTTATAAAGTATTACAAAATTTTTTTTAATTATCTTGAAGTAGATACTTTGAATTCTCTAGAAGTATTTTAAATTTTCTTCAGGTATTTAATGTACTTTAAATTATTTTAAATTATTTGAGGTTTTTTGAAGGAAATTAAATGTAATTTTATATTTCTTTAAGTATTTTGAACAGTCTTCAGGTATTTAAAGTACTCAAATACCTTGAATATACCCTATGAATTAGCTTAAAGTATTTTGAAGTAATCCAATGTAATTGTAATTTTCTTAAATTCTATTGAAGTATTTAAAGTATTTTTAATTGTCTTCAGTTATTTGAAGTATTCAAAAATATTTTCAAGTATTTTTTTTCATTATTATTAAAGTATTAAAAGTATTTTGAATTGTTATCAGTTATTTGAAGTATTCAAAAATTTTTTGTTGATTTTTGAATTATCTTGAAGTATTTTGTATTATCTTGAAGTATTTTAAATTATCTTGAAGTATCGTATATTCAATGAAATATTTTTTTTGTCATATTTTGTCATTTCAATTTGTTTCCCTCTCTGTCTTCTAATGAAATAAAATAAATAACTAAAGTCAAAGAAGAAGAAAAAAAAAGATCAAACACACAAAACGTTTTGCTCTTCTTTCAAGCTAATTATCGTACATAATTGTTTTTAATTTTGCTCCAAATACACACACATACGTGTCATTGAAGCGTATTTTATTCATTTTGTTTATTTTTCGAATCGTCATTGAATTTTCAATGGTGCGTTGGTTGCGTATACTCTTTGAGTAATTGGTACTAATTACGTTTTTCTCGTTGTAATTTGCCCATCCCTCGTTTTATTGACAAATACATTGACACGTGTGTACATTTAAATGCAAGCAAAACCATATGTATATATATATGTACATATGTGTTTTATATATATATATAAAACTAGATGAACATTTTGGTACATCGCGCAAGCGTTCCAGCTTCACCCCGTTCGTTCCTTCCTTCCGTCCTTCCTCTTCCTCACCACCGGAAGTTCTCTTTCCCTTCTCTCCAGTTGCCGCCGGTCAATTCAGTTCTCTCCTGGCCAGAGAGTCCAACGTTTCGCTTTTTGCTCTCTCTCACTCATATTCTCTTTCTCTCTTTTTTCTCTCTCTTTCTCACACGATCTTTTTGTCTCTCGTTCGTTACAGAAACAAAAACAAAAAAGTTGGTTTTATAAAATATATATATAAATACAATCTTATTTTTCTAAATATAAAATTTAAAAAAAAAATTTTGCATATTTTTTTTTTGTGAATTTAATTTTATTGAAAAAAAA